ACTCAACACCTACCACTGTTATGGTTCTAGATTAGATAAATAAATGTGGTATGGTGTATGCTACGTTGAATGGACATTGGCAATTATTTAGGCCCTACATGAATTTAAGCGTGGTAATTCACCAGACAGCCCACTGCAAAGGCTGAAACGGTTCTGAACAAGGTTAGGGAGTGACTACCCACGCCTTGCATTGCGGAATGGACAAGAACGTGGAATTAAGATTGAGGTTCACATGGCAAGCTGGGGATCTCATAACAAACCTGGACGCCCTAGGCCCGGAGAAGCTTTATACGTACAACGTCTAACATCTTTCCACCGTCAAAGAGATGTGGTAGAGAAGCTGAAAGCTTTCCGGGATCATTCAGATCCTACAATTTTTGTGCTCGGCGGCCTTTCTGTGTCTTGCTTCGAGGGAAAGCTTCCAGATCTTGTTTTGCCTAATTGTCGTTGCTGGTCATTCAAAGAGTGCCGTGCTGCCTTTCCAACTTCAACAGAAAGTCAGCAGGTAATTGGGTGGCAGACTTAAGAGTAGACATCCAGCTGTAAACCCTGCGGCCTGAGCGGGACATACTTGATTCTGTAAGACCATGCAAATCACCCAACACTATCTACTGAGTTATGAGCGTGGTTGTCACGAAAACAAAAAGCCACGTAGAATGTAGGTACTGATAGGCAGCCTAGACTGCTGTGCGTGTTTCTTTTCAGGTAGCAGGTTACAACATGTCACAAGTAACTGACTGATCATGCCCAACACTTTCAAGCCGACTAAGATCGTACTCCGAACCAGCAACTAGATGGCATTTAGAAATCATTGACAATTTCCGCTATTGTGATACTTTATAAGGGTTCCTATTATGTATATATATATATATACACATATTCTTGGTTGCCTGTGGAGTGCTACCCAGCAAATCTTTCGAAAGGCCCACCCCGTAGGTTTCTCCGCAGTTGCAGGGCCGAGGTCTGAGGATCTCCTTTCTGTGTCCACAGAGCATCCAAGATGCTTAGGGCGAAAAAGGGGTTATGTTAGGGTAATATGGGTACATATATAAATAAATGCATATATGTATATAAAGGGGTTGTATGGGATTGTATAGGGTAGGAATTGGACAAGGAAATCGAGTAGCAGTTCGCGAAGTGAGTTTACTTGTCATTAGTCTTACCTCTGAATGGTCCAGCGGCGAGGTGTTTTGGTTTGTCTAGGTTCCTTCTGCAGAAGTCCTCGTTCAAGAGACAAACATGAAAGCGTTGGCATGAGTCATATCGCTTTCACAGTAATGTTGCTGACTTAGAACAAGTTCAGAGTGGGCTTAACACTTCAGTTTGGGCCCTGAAAAAGGGAGGACACGGAGGCCCTGGACCCCTGGCCGGCCATAGTGTCCCTTGGCCTTTATGGTTGCAGGTCCCAGCTTGTTTCCCTGCTCTTGCCCTTTGCCACCAGCAGAGGGGACCTTCGTTCTTCGAGGTTCCCTCAAGATTGAGGAGGTTCATGCAAAAAGCGCAGCAAAGGACAATATTGGCTCACGTCCTATCTTTGGCAGGCATGGCAAGGATGGGGCGAGCAAGGGACCCTACAAGAAGAGAAGTGCCCGGGCTCCGTCCTGTGTGGAACGTCTAGTATTTCAAAAGCTACATTGTGGCTTGTCCTGATGCGTATCCCAGTTTATCGTGATGCTCTCTGCGTTCACAATGCTCAGCACCATAAGTTTTACTTCTGATCACAGGGGGGGTATCCTGCTCATAGTTCCTGTGATGTGGCCTGATTTGATCATGAGGGCGGAGTCCGGCCGCCTGAGGAGTGGACTCCGCTTTGGCAGTTAGCATCTTCTTCAACATCTAAGGAGGCAGTAACGAATGTGATGCTGTCGAAGATAAGTTGGAAGAGAGGCAAGCCGCCAAGGCCCGCATGCAAAGAAATGCTAAGGCTTGCCTGACATGCAAGTATGACCTCATCATATCTATAATTCTGGCTGTGGCTCAATTGAATGCACTGTCAACACGACCTCGCGCAAACTTACCCCCCAAGGTTCCCCCTTAACTAGCTCTTAAAAAGCTTCCATGAGTATCCCAATATCCTGAGTGCAAGCAGATGCCAACTGCCAACACTGCTCAAGGCATCGGTGACCATTCTGATGGGCATGTTGCGGTGCAGCGAAAAAGCATAAGCCGCATGCTGGCAGTTAGAGAGTTCGGTTCCAAGGGCTCATGATCAAGCGGCACTTGACAAGAAACATCTAGAGCAATTTCGTTGCCCGCGAGCCCAGACCTGGGCAGACACCATCCTGGACGAAGCATGTTCCGGCGTTGGAAAACAGCGCTAACGTGTCTTGAGCTGACTCTTGTTCGTTGCAACATTCGAAGCCAGATGCCAATGCAGCAGTCCTCTGACTGTGCAAGTCCGCACCGGATGGTACATCGGTCTCGTTTGCACACCGCCGGTTCCGATGAGAAATTTTCTATCTGGCAGGCAATGCGAGGTTGTTTCTGGAAACGCCATGCAGCTCCGCATTGTACCTTATGCAGTGGCTGTCTTCGATGCGTGTTGGCTCCTTCCTGCTTGCACAGCTTCCACGAGCATTCGTAGAACATGGTTGACATCCCAGAGATCAGCGCACAGAGCCATTGGCTTAACTTCAGCATCTGTTCACCATGTATCTGACACAGGCAATCAGCAGCTGAAAGCGAGAGAAGGTAATCTTGCCAGCTGTAAGAAAACCCCAGGAGCCCACTGCCCGTTAAATAAGGAATGTAGCTTGGGTCATACAAGAGTATTCCTTCATTAAGGGATATTGGGCTCGCTGGGAACCTGAAGACTCTGTGAGAAACCTGACTGAAGATGGCTCGCCGCTCAGCCGGTAGAGCCGCCGGCTTCTCAGATCTGGGCCACACCACAGTGGCAGTCCCCATTAACCGAAACTGCCATAAGTGGGGATATATAGGCAAGGGGAACTACTAACAGGAATTATTATGTAATCCATGTATTATCGGGGTTATAAACGAGCTATTTACAGCATTGCGCAGGTAAGAGAGCTTGCTTGGCCTTACAATGAGTGTCACTTCTCTTTCTGATGCCGATGGCAGCTTGCACTTGGTCATTTATCGAAATAATCCCCATATAATCACCCTGTAGTCACTGTATGTCCCCGGTGCTCCTGATGATTATGGTGATAGATATCTTGATTTTGATGATGATGAGGAGGAGGAACAGGGCCGTCTAGACAACGCAAAACTGCTAGATGCTGAGAAACAACATATACCCCGGACCTTACATGCTCCGGGCCGTGGCCTCTGGGGATCTCCCGTCTCAATATGAGGATGAGGGTCGCCAAGGGACCATGAAGGATGGACAGAGGGGTCGCGCAAATTGCTTGATATGCAAAAGGTGGTAAGTGGGGCATCGGTCATGCCCAACGCCCTCCAGACGGGCCTCGCCCGTTCAAGCTTGAAGCATTAAGCGCTCGACGCTAGACCGCTAGACCCGACATCCTAAACTCAAGACGCTATAACCCAAACCTTTAGCCCTAAAGCCGTGGCTGTAAGCTCTACATCCTATGCCTTCAGCTATACCATGCCCGCCCAAGGCGGCTTGTGCAGTGCTACTCTTGGGTGCTGGTTCGCTCTGCACCGCGGCTGCATTGCGGCATTACTAGATACAGTACAGAAGCGTAGTCAAACGTCTATCATGGATATTGCAGTCTATACCGAAGTGCAACAATTTCTGTTAGTATGTCGCCTCCGCTCAAGTAGTCATCCCTCACTGGAAGTACGGATTCTGCGTGTGCGTGTCTTTGTGCCTTTCCACGCTGCAACAATTAATCCGTCGGTACTCGTACACAACCCGCAAGATCTTCCTTTATTGATGCATCCCCGCAGCTTGGAATGAAGCTTCCACGCCCTAATCCTACAGTCGAGATCGTCGTATTCATGGCTTGCCCTGGCAAGGGAAAACCAACGACCTAGGGATGGGATTTTGCAGATCAGGGAGGCTTTGGGATTGATTTTCAGCAGTTGATCAGGTCAGAGCTCAGAGTCGTAAAGTTAGCAGAAGTGAGGTGGAGGTTCCCAGGATGTGTAGACAAGAGCGACACCCATGTTATTGAGATGAGATCCACAGCAAACATCAGTTCCTTGAATTCTCATCCTTTGGGTTGTTGGATTGCTTCTTTTTTTTTCACTTTCTATGGCAGTGAATGTTGATGCGATTTGTTTCTTGGGCCATGGTTGGCCGTGTTCTGGATCCAGGGTTGATGTGGGCAGCCCTTTAGGCAGAGATGGTCATTCATCTTGGCATGGGGAGTGGAGCTTGCAGAACTGGAGATCGTGGAATCACAAGCGGACACAATCATAGTAATACTGGCAATATCAGATGTCAAAGTGATCATTCGAAATGTTCGATAGTTACAACAGAAACATTGGCGACAATAACGGTAGGAATAATGGTCCTGGGATATTCCCGGGTATAGCTTTTAGCTATTATGGACCAGAATCCCTATACATTCCCTGTAAGGCAACCGATTTACACCCTTTTACTCTATCCGAGCTGGTCGGGATTCCTTGCCTTGCAGAGCATGGCCGAGCGCGGGTTTGAGGATCTAGCTGTGACAGCTTGGAATTTTGGAATTGATTTAGCACCTTCATGGGATCCTAAACTCGGTTTTCCTACTCCCCTCCACACATGGTTTTGTTTTGGGGGAGTAAGCGTGTGGTAGTATAGGACCACTTCACATAACCGTTGCAACTGCCAATTGCCTTAGGGATGTGGCTGCAGGCTGGGATCATAAGGGGTCCTGATCAGGCTCAGTGTCTCGCAAGAAAGAATCTGAGATGTTGATTTGCGTGCGATTCCTTGCAGCGGGGTTTTCCATGGGTCACGATTATTTCCTTGAGGCTTGAAAGGCTATGCAGCGCTTTCAGAGGTGCAGTCGGGCTTGTTAGTTTCAGGCTCCGCTGAGCAACAGACAGAAGCCATGGGTCAGTGAGACAGCACGTGCTTTGCTTTCATGCTTTTGCATCAGCTGCACGGATGGTTTTCGGAAAAAATCTTGCCTTCTGCGGCATTTAGCGGGAAGTCGCTGCTCCGGAAGCCTGCAAGAAGATGCCGCATGGCAAGCGTTGGAAAAATGCAATCGCTTATGCTTGCGATGCTAGCAGATCTGGGGTTACCTCAGACAATGTCCGCAGGCGGGGATCACACTTGTGCCGTTGGGACTGACGGCCACCTTGTTTGCTTTGGACGAAACCATGACGGGCAGTGCAATGTGCCAGACAATTTGGGGCCCGTTATGGCTGTCTCAGCAGCTGCATCTCACACATGCGCAGTGAAAGTGGATGGTCAACTAGTATGTTTTGGCAATAACCATGACTTCCAGTGCGACGTGCCACCCAATTTGGGACCAGTTGTTGCAGTTGCCGTGGGTAATCATCACAGCTGCGCTGTGCAAGCAGATGGTCAGCTTGTTTGCTTTGGCCTCAACAAGTTTGGCCAGTGCGATGTGCCAAAAGCGCTGGGACAAGTTCGGTCAGTTTCTGCTGGGGGCCATCATACCTGCGCTGTGACAGCAGATGGTCGGCTGGTTTGCTTTGGGATGGAGTTTCATGGTCAATGCAAGGTGCCACAGAATGTAGAGCCAGTCCTGGCCGTGTCTGCAGGCAGTAGCCACACCTGCGCATTAAGAGCAAATGGTCACCTTGTCTGTTTTGGCCATAATAAGTACGGCCAGTGCGATGTTCCAGACGGTTTGGGCCCAGTTCGTTCTTTTTCTGCGGGGACTGGCTACACCTGCGCGGTGAGCACAGATGGGCGGCTATTCTGCTTTGGCAGAGATGACCAAGGTCAGTGCGATGTTCCGGAAGGTGCTGGTCAAATTGCTTCAGTTTCTGCAGCTGTTGAACACTCTTGCGCAGTGAGACTAGATGGGAAGCTGGCATGCTTTGGTTCAAACAACTTCGATCAGTGCAACGTGCCAGACAACGTGGATATGGTCCTGGCCACCTGATTTGTTTCTGGAGCCCGGGATGCTGCAAGTATCCAGCAGTCATGCGCAGCACCAACCAGAAATTGCAAGATGTGGGAAACGCCGAGGTTTCTGGCCAGTCGATATCATTGCGACGGCTTTTGCATTACACTTGACACTCAACACCCATTGGCAGTTGTGAATCTTCATTCAAGGCACCCCAAGCCATCAGGCTCTGTGACAGTCATCCTGACCGAGGTACCAGCTTCGCCACCGCTGCCCCACAGGCTCGCATCTTTGCTGAGTGCAGGGCTTTGGGTGCTGTGGTTGGGGATGCTCCTGGCAAGCCGTGAGGCATGTAGGAAGGCATGCTGCAGGCTTTTATTTTTTGCGTCGTAAGCCCAATGGCTCAGATAACCAGCAAAGCCGCCGGAACATGCCTCCTCCTTACACCATGCACTCCATGTGTCCAATGCAGTTCAAACAGCACTCTTCAAGCAACCGAACAGGCTGCATGAGCATGATTGTGCGCTCGCCGCATGGTTTACTTGCTCTGGTATGCTTCTGGGCACAGCTTATTCAGCATGATCTATCCTGCACAGCCTTCAAATTGGGACCCTTGCCAGATCCTGTACATCTAACCCAACACATGGCAAAGGGTGCCCAAATGCACTGCCTGGTTTGCGCTATCCAGCGATAGGTTCCAACGCGATTGCTGACACGAGTTCGGCCCTCAGCAACAGCAGCTGAAGGTGCAGGTAGCCAGCAGTGACATGCTGTCAGCAGCCTTCACTTCTCAACAGTCAGGAAAGTTGCACAACATAGCAGGGTGTACGTATTACCCTTTGGTAGGACAAACAGGATGCCACAATCAATTCATACTGAATTGTTGACCTCATGCCAGCTGCCTCCACATGATTGTTTTTCGGCTGAAAAGATCCCGCATGACCTTAGCATACTTTGATACCATAATTCCCAAAGTATAAGGTGCTTGGGGTAATGTAGGCTTTTAGTATCCACCGTCTCAATCTGAATCTTCTCCCTGTGACGTAGCCTTCCACAGTCAGGAAGGGAACCAGGGTTGTCGTCTTAATCCTTCGTCCTGCAACCTCGTTCTGGATCGCAACTTGAGCTACTGTCAATACTGGTTGCCAAGGGACCATTAGGAGTGGGCATAAGGGTCCCTTTGCTAGTTTAGTATCGTCCCAGATGTATTATAATATTGTCTGACAGGAACCCCGCTCGTCAATTAATATTGCCTGTAGCTCACTTGAAGCCTTCTGCACTTGAATTTGGAGTTGCCTACGACTACCATGTCCTCAACAGGGGTTCTCTGCCTGCCCACACTTTTTTCCCTTGCTGCAGAACTTTGCCAAAGCTTTCTTCAGCGCGATTGTCTAGAGAATAACAAAGCAGCAGTTTCTCTAATCATGACCGTCCGGGAAACGAGATTCAGCCTAAACTCTCAACCCTCAGTTTCTTAACATTGGTACGAGCCGATTAACTCCGCGGAGGAGACGCTTGTGCAGCCTCTCGCCGGTCGGTCGCTGATCCGCCCAAACCCAGGTGGCAGAAAGCGCTTACTTGCTCATTCTTCCGAAATGGACCGGAGCTTGCAGGTGTGTGCGTGCGACACTGTGAAACGAGCTCTTCATGAAGCCCTCTTGCACCCAACCTTGGGGAGTACGCTTGTGCTGGTTGTGGCAGCTCATGTCGTCCAGAAGACGTTGTGTTTCGGGGATTCCTTTTCGAGATCAACCCACGACTCAAGCGATTGAGCCGGTTGTGTGAAGCTTAAGCGGGAATCCTAGCTCCTGAGATTTCAGGATCACAAGCGGGCCACATGCCTAGCTTGCAAGGCTTCTTCCCGTTTTTGCACTTTTTCTCATTGTTTCTTAGCATTCTGAGGTCAAGTTCTCTTTCATTGTGGGTAGCGATTAATGCCACTATCTTTGGTTTTGCGACAAGTCTTGTCCCAGCGCTCCGGGGCCTTGCTTTTGTTTTGTTGCAGGCCCCCGCACTCCTCGGCGCCTCTTTGATTCAGGCCCGGAACGGAGACTTTCTTGCTGAAGCCATCCAGGGTCTACACACCCACTTGAGGACTCAGGAAAAAGCTAGGGGCCCAAAGGAGGCCCATAGTTAACACCTAAAAGCTACCTGTATGAAAATTGAATTTTTATGGGATTTCAAGCCTGAAGTAGTAGTTTCCATTCTCTTCTAGCATGCCCTGACCTCAGGCAGCTTCTTTGGGGTTGGAGTGCCAGAGGCTTTGGTCGTAGCCTTCCTGGGCCGCGGCCTCGGAAGCAATTTCCCAAGTCGAGAAGGCACCATTCTGTGGATGTCCATAAAAAGGTTTGGAGTTTCAGGTTTATGCGGTTTTCGTGACGCTTTCTGCGGAGACTGGCCATGGAAACTGCCCGAGGTTTCAAGAGCATGTTGCATGATGGAGTCTGGCCGCGGACAGAAACAAGGCCAAGAACAAGAGATGGGCCGCAGAAGAGAAAGTCATCGAGGGCTTCACTCCCTTGCGCAATCCTGGCAAAAGCTCTGTGTGTACCGGCTATGGATAATTCACATGGTGCAGCCCGAGCCCCGAGCATACAAGGTTCTTCAAGGTTCCTCCCGTGCAAGAACCCAAGGCCTTTGGTTGTTTCCAACAGCTGAGGCTGGTTTCTCCTTGGCCCAGAGGAGCTGTACAAGATCTCGAAGCAGGCCGGGGGCTGCAACTGACCTTCCATACCGGAGAGACAGGTAGGGAGAGAGAGAGAGAGATATGTATATATATATATATATTTAAGGGCTGCC